TCGTCGGTGGCCTGTCGGGGAAGAAGACGCAATCTGGGTCCACCTTCACGGTCCAATCGTGCTTTCTGTGCCTGCCTCCTTCGATGACGACGTCCCACACCGCGAAAAAAATCGGCGTGTTCAGCGCGGTGCCGAATTCACCTGATAGAAGGATGCGGAGGAATACATCGGGAAGCTTGAGGTGTGCATTGATGTTTCATGTGGCTGTTTGTAAAGAGGTCCACTGGATTCCGCAAGGTTCCCAAAAGGCTTGGACATCTCTCGAAGGGAGGGGGGAACTGGAAGTGAGGAGGAATGGGAGGAGGGAGGAAGGTGATGAAAAAAGGAGCACCAAACTCTACTATGATCGCCCACGGAACCTGCGCGAGCGCATGGCCCAATCGGCGCGCCGTCCCCGTTGCGCCACTGCCTTCGCTCCATCGCAGTACCGCGCAGCCACCACCCACCGCCCATCGCAACTGACGCGAACTCCCTGGCGGGGCGAAGCACGCCACGAGCGCAAACGCAAGGAAAACAATGTCGCGGCACGCAGGCCTTGACGCTGGCGCACCCGGGGTGCCACGGGCAGGCGCGGACGAAGAGGCGCGCGGGATTGCTTTAGCCTGCGGGCCGACGCCAAAGCCCCGGTTGGTTGCCGAGTCCCTGGCTCGCCTCCGACGGCGGCCAGGCTCCTGCCGCTCGCTACTTCGTGCCATCCGCGTGCAATCAGCAAGCACGGAGCAAGAAGGGGCGCGTGCACCGGGACCCCGCGCGCCGTTCGACCCCGCGCCCCGCAAGCCACGAGTGGTCAGGAGCGGGAACCCTCGCCCCTCAATCCTCGGAGGCTGGACCCAGGGACCCAGGGACCCACGAAACCCGCGGCACGGATACCGCTCAACGGAAACGCGCACCGAATACGTGGGGTAAACATACAGCCCGCCTGAGAGCCCATAGCTGAAGGCTCCCTGATCCAGCTTTACCCAGTGACTCCACCAAAACAAAGAGGGCGGAGGAAAACAACGGGACCGAAAAGAAGACGCAACATAGCAGGGAAGACAAAAAGAGACGCCCCACCGAAGACTGGGCGGCCAAGCTGACCGTTCAAGACATGCCGATGCCGAACTCCACAGCGAAGATACAGCACGAAGTGATTCGACAGACGGCGTTCGAGCTTCCGCGGAAGATGAACGTCGCGCGGCTGATCCGCATCAGGATTGACGAGAGGGGCAGCATCACGGCGATGGTGCAGTTAGAGAGGCCGACGCCCATTGCCCAAAAACCAGCATCATAACAATAGGGATATATACATAAATAATATGAAAATATGGGATTGCCCTGCGACGTGCCGAGCCCATCGGCACGAAGGGATGTGAAACTAGTGCCAACAATAGCGCGACAACAGCACCGCAAGAGACGGTGCAAGATGGATAATTATATCGTGCGACGTGTACGTGGCCGACTCACAGAACAGATATACACAAAGCCATGATGCTTTGTACTGGGAAGGAGTCACAAACAAAAACCTTGGGGCGGAAAACCAATCTCCTCGGCAGAAGCAGCGAGATAATGGAGCATGGGCAAGATCAAGTTACATAGGCGGAGACTCTATCACACAATGAAGTGCCGCGTTTCTCTATGCCGAAATGCTCAACACCTGCGCGACCAGCGCTCCGCGCTGCTGCAGCGCCTCGGAACATGAAAAGCTCCGGGTATTAGCGTACGACACGGTCAAGGCCTAGCTCGCCCGCCAGCTTCTCCGCTTCCGCTTCCTCCCTGCACCAGTTAGTGCGAGCACCAAACGCGCGCAGAAACGCCGCCAACCCTCGAAAGTGGCCACCGTTTCGCACTTCGCAGCCCCCAGTAAGGATGGCGAGGTCCCGTCTGGATCTGCTCGGGGCCCCACTGTGCTGGATCCCCCAGCAGCCCTCGAAAGTGGCGACAGATTCGCACTTCGCAGCCCCCAGTAAGGATATCGAGGTCCAGATTGTGTCTGCGTGCGGCCCCACTGTGCTGGCTCCCCCAGCAGCAGCCCCCGAAAGTGGCGACAGATTCGCACATCGCGGCCCCCAGGGATGGCGAGGTCCCGTTTGGGCCTGCGTGGGGCCCAACTGCAGGCTCCCCCAGCAGCCCTCGAGAATGGCAACATATTCACAGTTTACGGCCCCCCAGGGATGGCGAGGTCCCGTGTGGGTCTGCGTGGGGCCCCACTATGCTGGTTCCCCCAGCTGCCCCCGAAAGTGGCGACAACTTCACACTTGATGGCCATGATGGCCCCATGATTGCCAAAGAGGGGTACAAGATGGGGCAAGAGGTCCCAACACGGGCCTAGAACACCTGAGAGCCCCTCAAGAGCGTCACATGAACTCTGGGAGATCCACCACAACCACAACCCTGTATAACAGAGGATATGTCGACCCCTATCCCAGACTTCGCGGGGTTCTCGAATGGACCAGACATGTAAGGCCAAACCATGGGATATACGATGGGGGGGGCGTCCATCCTCGATAGGAGTGCGTCCGAATAGCCCCCTTGCGGTGTATCCCAGGGTTCCCCTCCTTATCTGAGCGGCTTCATGTTTCGTCGAACAATCGCGGGCTGGGGGAGAAGAATCGCCTGCGACTGTAAAATCGCCATCGCTCGGACGTCCATTCCCCGTGACCGTGCATTTCTCGGATTCGTCCATATATTCTCGCACGAGGATCCTAGATGCCCCCTCGGTGGCGCTCGCCGAAAAACATGTACACGGCCGAGCGATGCCACGGCAAGCCCTCGCCCCCTCCTCTTCGACGCCCCGACTCGAGACGAGATAGGCCCAACCTGACTACCTACCAGACCACCCCAACCCAACCCGAAGACCCGAGTCTCGGGTTTGGGGGGGGGGTACGGGCTTCATATGTAAATGGAGGCAAACCGGGGCTTTGTGGTTGGGGTTGTGGTGTCTTGCTGCCCAGTGAAAACGGGGACCCCCCGTGCATGGCGAGGAAGTGCGGGCGGCGGCCGCCAGAGGAGCACGCTCGCCTCCCGACTCGCACTTGAGGTCGCTGTCGACCTTCGAGGACCAGAAGCTAAGACGAAGCATGGACGAGGATAACCTCGGGCGAAGATAAATCGGAAATCTCTGAGATCCGGCGGCTCTGGAGGACGTCTCGGGCGCCGCGGCCTGAGGGCGCTCCGGAAAGCTCCGGAACGGATTCTACGCAGAAAGCATCCATACACCACCACCGTGTCTGCTCGGGTTCATCCTAGGCTCCAGGACGGTCTATAGACCCTCCTGGCGTCGGCCGGGCGGGCGTATACACCATGCCAAGGCCCAAAGTTGCCCTGGCCAGACGCGGTGGTGGTGTATAGATGCCTTCTGCGGAGGGTTCGCCCTCGTCCCAGCCCCGTCCGAAAAGCAGCGCACGGCACAGGCGCTATCAATCGGACACCCTGGCCGATCTCTCGAAACAGCGCCAGACCACCGACCACCCACCCCCGCCTCCTGGCGCGCGAAGCGCGCCGCTGGGGAGGCCCGCGTCTTGTGGAGGTCTCCGTGTGGATCTCTTGGGTGGTTGCCTGGCCCCTCCTGTCGGCTACACGCAAGAGTGACCCCAGGCAAGAGTGACCTTTGGTGCGCGACTTCACGGAGGCCGCGGGGTGGCCAGATCCGGGCGCACAAGCCGCTGCTACCGCTTCGCGTTCAGCGGTCGGGAGACCCCTCCGGGCCCGCACCAGAGGTCACCCTGGCGAAGAATCACTGCCAGAGAGGCGCCCCGCACACGCCGCGCGATGACCGAGCCTCTGCCTGTCGGCGCCGCGCCCCCACGCGCGCCTCGCGAGCACACGAGGTGGGCAGGCCCCGGGGGGGGGGGGAGGCTGCGCGCCGGCCGCGGGGAGGTCCGCGCGGACCTCGGGGCGGCCCCGCGCGCCGGAGGGGGGGTGGCCCGGCGCCGGCGCTGGAGGTGCCTGCTGCCAGATCCAGCGCATGGGAAAATCAAGCCTGAGGTCGTGCGCCGTGGTCGGCCTCTGGAGGCCCTCGCCGGGCCCCTGGACCGTCCAAGAACGGCTCAGGACGACAGGCCGGTCCTGGGGAGAATGAGTCGAGACTTCCGGGGACCCCGTGTCGAAAAAATCACGACGTCGGATCTCTGGGTTCCTGAGACGAGCGCGCTCAACTACTCGCAGAATCCCTGCTCGCAAATGGCCCGGATCCGCCGCGGGGCGTCTGCGATCCATGGCATCGAGGCAAACACGTGCTTCTCGGACGTCTGTGCGAGTAGGCACTTCGCGCGCTCTGCTGATTCCTTGTGCGATGACCATCACGTCAGCAGGGCGTTGGCTCGCGCACGTGCCGCTCGCATCACAACCAATGCCGAGGCGCCCACGGCGGGTTCGTGCCGTGACGACCCCAGAGTTGGCCCCTGCAGGAGGCTAAGTGCGAACCCTACCCCACCACCCCACGATTTCTGAGATGGGGGGCGGGGATCATCACCTCGCTCAAGAAACCCCGAACGAAACGAAACCCACCTCCCCGCTTAAAAATCGTGAGGTGGTGGGGTAGGGTTCGCATGTAGCCTCCTACTCTGGCACCGCGTACAGTCGGGCCGCTGAAAGAAGGAACGCTAAATAAGGAACGAAGCCCCTTTTCGGCCCTGAAAGCGCCTCCGTGCCCGAGGAGAGCGAGAGGGACAGCAATGGAGGAACCTAGGGAACAGCGAGCCCCGTCTGAACCCAAACAGCTCCTTATGTCAGCGTCTTGACTGCAGATCGGTCAGCACTGAGCGATTGGTGGCTCTTCGATCGCCAGCTCGCTCCAGGTCGCCAGGCTGTGGGCCACTCGGGGGCGCTCCACCCTGAACGCCAGTGGCGGGGTCGCCGCCGCGTCACCACGGCGCGAACCTGCCGCGCTCCCTGGAAGCTCTTCCGCAGGGCGCTCGGAGCAGCACCTCAAGGAGGATTCGGCCGTGGCGACGAGGGCTCTCCTGCACGCGCAGCGGTGTCGGTATGATTTCCCCTCCGAATTATCTGGCTCCTCGAGGCCTTCAAAGTCCTGACTCCAGGAGCGACGTTGTACTGGCCGTCGCTGTACGTCGCGTACTCCTCGCGCGCAAGGGCTAGTCCGCGGGCGCGCCTCTCACACCGCCGCGGGACCGTACACCAGTCCGACAGGTGTCTCCGCATAGCTGAGGATACAAGAAGAAAGAACGCCATGAGCATGAACGTTTGGCGCTCCGCGCGGAGCGCCAACAGTTTAGGTGCATGATTTTCTGGCTCCGTCGAGAGGGGGCGGGGAGTACCCTGAGGAACGTGATGATTCGGGCCGTTCGAAGGCCCCTCGCCCGCAGGCAAAAAGCGGAGGGGGGGCGACCAGAACCCGCACCAGGCCAGAGCAAGCCACCCCCGACGGGTCCCAACAAGGCCCCGCGCCGGGTCACCACAAGGCCAAGCCACCGAGTTCTAACAACCTCCCGCGCGGGAGCTGCGTAGAGTAGGAGCTCGACCGCAAGACACCTTCCACAAGAAACCCAACCCTGGGGCCCCAGGACGTCCGTCGATTCTTGGTGTGGGAGCGCCACGCTCTCCATAGCAAGACCATGGAGACCCAAGAGACCGAGGGCACCCTGGAGGCAAGCAGGGTGCTTCTTGGCAAGGGCTTCCACTGTAGACGAGGCGGCGGGCCAGAGGAAGAGCACGGACCGGAGCGACCAGGCGAGGACAACGCGCGCGCGCGCCTGGTAGCGCTCTGCTCGGTCCCCCGAGGCTCCGAGGCTCCGAGGCCTCTGCGTCGAGGCCCGGGGGGTCTCTGGGCCCCCTCGAGGTCCTCGAGCCTCTCGAGGAGCTCGAAGACCCCGAGGAGCTCGAGGCCCGAGGCCTCGAGATCTCCGGATCGGGACGGCGACCGCACGGGCCCCTGGGCCCGCGCTGGCCCTGCAGGGTGCAGGTGCGGTTGCCACCGGGGGGCCGACGGCCTCGGGCCATGGCAGCAGTGCAGAAGGACGAGGAGGAGGGAGAGGATGATCCTGCCCCTCCTCCCTCACTTCCCTCGTCGTCCCCCTCCTGCACCTGGGGCGGTTCCTCCCCCACCCTGCTCCCTCCTTCCCCCGCCGCCTCCCTCCGCCCCTCTCCCCCTCCCTTCCCTTCCCTTCCCTTCTTCGTATCTCCTTCCTCCCACTCGAGGATCGAGGGCTGAGGTCTCTGCCCTGTTCCTGTGAAGCAATGGAGGTAATCTCCGCGTCCTCCACCTTTTCCGTCGTCGTCGTTGCTTCGCTTCCCCCTCCTTCTCCTGCGGTTCCTCCTCCTCCTCCTCCTCCTCCTCCTCCTCCTCCTTCTCCTCCTCATTACTCGCCGCCGTCATCTTCGTCTCTCCCTCTCCACCTCAACCTCGACCTCGACCTCGACCCCGTTCTCGGCCTAGACCTCGACCTCGGCCTCCTCCTCCTCCTCCTCCTCCTCTTCCTCCTCCTCCTCCTCCTCCTCCTCCTCCTCCTCTTCCTCCTCCTCCTCTTCACTCTTCCTCCACCGACTCCACCCACCCACCGACACTCTCCTTCCTCCCCTCATCCCTCCACCCTCAACCGATCCCGTCTCCCTCCTTCTTCCGCCTCATCATCATCATCATCATCATCATCATCATCATCATCATCATCATCATCATCATCATCATCATCAGCATCAGCATCAGCATCAGCATCATCATCATCGTCATCATCATCGTCATCATGATCATCATGATCATCATCATGATCATCATCATGATGATCATCATCATCATCATCATCAACAGCATCATCAGCATCATAATCATCATCATCATCCTCATCATCACCATCAGCATCATCATCACCATCATCATCAGCATCATCGTCATCATCATCATCACCAGCATCATCCAAATCAACACAATCACCATCACCATCACCATCACCCTCACCCTAAAGGTCATCGTCATCATTAGGATCATCAGCATTATCATCATCATCGTCATCCTCATCACCACCATCGACATCGCCATCATCATCATCATCATCATCATCATCATCATCATCATCATCATCACAATCATCAGCATCATAATCATCAGCAGCAGCATCATCATCAGCAGCAGCATCATATTCATCGTCACTACCACTATCGTCGTCAGCATCAGCATCATCCTCAGCATCATCTTCGCCATCGGTAGTCACATCAGCATGATCAGTAGCCTCTTCACCATCATCACCACCATCGTCATCACATTTCATCATCACCACCACCACACCCATCATCATCATCATCATTATTTTATGATCATGAACAGCAGCATCATCATCATAATCATCCTCATAATCATCATCGTCATCATCTGCATCAGCATCATCATCATCAGCATCATCATCATCATAATCAGAATCACCATCATCATCATCATCATCATCATCATCATCAGAATCATCATCAGCATCATCATCATCGGCAGCAGCAGCGGTACCAGCATCACCATCACCATCACCACCATCACAACCATCATCAACAGCACCAGTATCAGCATCATTATCAACGTAACCAGCACCATCATCAGGATCAGAATCATCGAACTCCTCACCATGAGCATTATCAGCATCCTCATCATCATCGTCGTCGTCGTCGTAGTCGCCATCGCATCATTGTTCGTCCTCGTCATTGTTCTCGTCACCGTCATCGCCAACAGCATTAGCAACAACATGTTCCATTCCCTCCTGACTTCTGCTTCTGGGTGGTACAATGGTAAAGTGTCAACATGGAGATCATTTTTTTATTCCGGCCGGTAACGCTCGTTACCCGGGGGGGGGGGGGGGGTCGTGCCCCCCGGGTAACGGTAACGCTTGGGCTGGGCGGGGTATGGCGAAGCAGGGGCGCTCTGCGATCGCCATAGTATGCGCGCGAGCAGCACTCTCTGCCTGAGAGCACCACAGTGGCTTGCGATTCGAGTACAAGCGCAAAGCCCGCCGCGTGGTCCCGGCACCACGCCCGCGCCCGCGCGCGCGACGACGATGATCGACGAGCGACGAGCGACGAGGTCGACGACGACGACGACGACGTTTGCCGCCTGTTTCGGCCTCCGGAGGCCGTTTTCGGGCGCCGTCGACGACGACGACGACGACGACGACGACGACGACGACGACGACGACGACGACGACGACGACGACGATTCGAGTACAAGCGCAAAGCCCGCAAGCACCAGCATCGCGCATGCGAGCCCGCAATGCCTGAGCGCCCACAGTGCGCCTGCGACCACCACACCACAGTGCGCATGCCTTCGGGCACCAGCATGTTGGAGGGGAAGACCGAGACCCCCCCCGCGTACGAGCGTTACCGTTACGGGGGGGGGGGGGGGGGGAGAGGCCCGGGTAACGAGCGTTACCCCCCAGAGGATAAAAAAACAATCTCATGGAAACCCACGGCAAGAAACACAAGCCTGGACTCAGTTGAGGTTTCCGTGTCCAGGCTTGGATTTCTTGCACTTCGGCCGCAGACGAATCACATCAGGGCGCCTTGACCCGAGCGGTGCACTGATCGCCCGCGTAGAGCAAAATGGCACCAAGAAGCCCAAGGCGATCGAGAGTGCAAGCTTCGGGCCCTGCACCCACAGAAAGCTGACGACTGCTCCCGCCCCTCACGACTTCTCCCCGCGGGTGGATGGGCAGCGCGGGGCGAGCAGCCCGAGTGGCGGGCGAAGAAGCCAAAGGCACCCCGAATGCCCAGAAGCTTCTTGGAGGTTCGGGCGCGCGCTCCGAAAAGCACCGACGCCCAAAAAGACCAGAGTGGCCCGCAGTGTGCAGTGTCTTCGAGATTGCTACAACCTTCCACGCCGAACACAAGCCGAAATTGCCTAAGGCACCCTGACGAAACAGAAGGCGTGTCTTGCCATGCGGTCCGGCTGTAATGCTAGCCCCCGCTCTCCTGAAGAAAGAAACTCAACACAACGTCAATGATGAGAGAAAGATGGCGACGGTGACGAAGAGGGAGCCTCTCCAGCGGGCAGCGCGAACAGAGGGGTGCCCAGCGCGCAAAGCGACGCAAATGGGGAAACCAAAGGGCACCGATACCGCTATGACCCCGACCTCTTCCATGGTGCGTTCTAGCCAGGATTCCGAGGCAAATCAAGCGGCGGCGACGAGGGCCGCCCAGCTGCCCCAAAAACGGGGAACGAAGGGGAAAGGCAGAGGTATGGGCACCTTTTTCCTCCACTGAGCAGAATCTCTCCCCCCCCCCCCGTCTGTGGCTCCTCGCACTGGAAGATGTGCGTGTTCATCCCATACTCGGGGAGACGTAAGACTCGGGTTCCGGGGGGACTCGGGTTGGCCTGACGGAGCCATCATGAAAATGACGAGACCCACTCTGAGATTTGACGCGAGCTCCCGCTGCACACATCCCACGGACAATGGACCGCCGAAATCCCAGACGCGCTCGTCAAAAAACGTCGGCAAGCCCAAGTTCCGGCTTACTTTGGCGGCGCGCAGAAGGGGGTGGAGGGAGGGGGGAAGGCTTCTTAGAAGGAGGCTGCTTTTTAGAAGGCGGCGGCCTTACACCTATACATGAGGACCCCGCCTTCTAAGAAGCAGGGGTGCTTCTAAGAAGCCTTCCCCCCTCCCCCTGCCCCCCTCTGCGCGTGGCCGATTACCCGAGCCTTACGCTTCCCCGACATACGTGTACTCGATCAGCTCCTTCTCGTTGGACCACGGGATGAAGAGCGCCTGGCTCGGAGCGCAGCGCGCGCGTCGTCGCCGCGGGCTCCAGGCGCGCGCTCGGGGGGAGGCCTCCGGCGCGCGCCCGCGGAACGCGTGACCCGTCGACGGCACGCCTGCTGCCCGGCAGGGCGAGACAATGCCAAACGGCTGCGCTGCGAGCAAGCGCCCCGACAAGCCCGCAGAGCGAGGCCGAGCCCGAATTCATGACTCGGCTCTGTCCCCGCCACGTGAGGCGGACTGCTGCATCCGGCCCATCCCCGGAAGCGCGAGGGCCGGCGCGTCAGAGAGACAATGCCCAAAGGCATCCAGACACAGCGGCAGGAAGGCGAGGCGGAGTGGGAAGGGCAATGCTGCGCACAGGAATGAGCATACATTCTGACCACCCCCTTCCCCGTCTCTTTCGATTATTCCCCACATTCTGAGCCTTGCCTTCACAGAACAGCCTCTCCCTCCTTCCCTCTTTCTGTCACCTCCTCCACCTCACCTTCCTCCCCATTCTTTCTCGTCATCCTCCTCCTCCTCCTCCTCCTGCTCCTCCTCCTCTTCCTCCTACTCTTCCTCCTCCTCCTCATCCCACTAGCCCCACGTGTGCCGCCTGTTCCTCCAGGGGGGCCCCGCCAGACCGCGGCAGTCATCCGCATACAGAGCCGCCCCCCCCTCCCTCCTCCCAGTCCCTCCCTTCTCCTCCCTCTCCCCCATCCCGCCCCCTGCTCGTTCTATTTCGTTTCGCTCACGTCCCGATGGGAGCACGCCTCCACGCGCACCCAGGCGCGCGAGCCGCACCTGGATGCCAGTGGCGCACGCGCTTCACAGCCCACATTGCCACTGCACTGTTCCCACGCACCAGCCCACTGCATGTTGCTCTCGCAGGTGCTGGTTCCAAAACTGTGCTAGCACCTCTTCCTCCTAAGCCCCCCTCCTCGCCTCCTCGCCCTCTGTCCCATTGCCTCGACCCCTGTCGGCGTCTTTGGACGCCAAAGTCGGTACGGAAAAAATGGGCACGATGCTCGGTAACAACTGCGGTCGCTGTTGAGCAGGCGACTCTCTGTCTCAAATTGATGTCCGCCGCGACACTCACAATGAACAGGAACTGCTGTCGGTCTTCGTCACTGTTCTGCCCGTACCCGTCAGGCGGAAGACGTGGGCACAGACATGGAGTAGGAAGGCGTTGGAGATAGATTGGGCTTCCGCCCGCACCCCGGAAAGGGAGGGAGAGGGGAGCACCGCTCGACTCTTGAAATAGGACGGCGGCGAAGATATACCGGGATCTGGAGATCCAGAAAGTCATAATTCGGGATGACGATAAATAAAAAAGGGGAGATGACGATTAAAAACATAGTTTTCTGCGATTTCTGCACAATCTTCTGACTGGAGGAGAACAATTAAAAAATAGTTTTCCAGCCCGCGGCCGGTTTTTTCGAATCGTCATCCCCGGCGCCGCCGCGCGACCCCCGGTCATTTATTAATCGTCATCCTCCATTACTTGAAACGACCCGCGTGCAACCACTTCGATTCTGCAGAGCGAAAACGGCGGCAGCCGCCGCCGCCCCCAAGCCCGGGCACGAAGCAGTACAGCGACGCGCCCTGCTGGGGGTCGTAGATGTCTATGCTCCGCCCCTGCGGGGGTGGGGGCGTCCAGGGCGAGCGGGCGAGCAAGCGGCGCGGGTGCCAGGCACACGGACGCGCCCGCGCCCTCTCTGGAGGCAGGGCGCGCGAAGGCATCTAAGAGCCGCGCCTCTACTCACAATTCCTGAGAGCACCTGTTACTGGGGACGTCCCCCCCCCGCCCCTCCCCCCCCCCCCCGTGGTAACGCCACGATTGCCGCCGTCGCCGTCTGGGAATGGCCAGGGGCAGCAAAGTGGGCGCTGGAGCGAGTCCTGACGCTTACCGGCCCCATCCCCCTCCCTCCCGCCTCCCAGTAAGCTCAGGTCGGGCATGTCCTCCTACAGGCGGATTTGTTCCTGATCTTTGCAGATTTGTTCGGAGAAATGATCAAGAATAGTCGAACAATCGGCCCCAGACTATTTCCGGGCTCTTCTGGGATACTCCTCCTGTAGAGGGACACGCCCGACTTCACAGCGAGGACCGCCATCGCGGGAGAGGAACAAAAACAAGCTCTGTGCCCCACGCTGGGAACAAGGAAAGGCGACACCAACACCAGCAGGACGAGGAGGTGCGAGGAGGCAAGGGGAGTCTCCCTGGTGGTGTGGCCCCCCCCTCTCGCTCGTGACATCCCCAGCGTCCAGCTCGGGGAGGCATCATGGACCTCCTCGCTGGAGGTGGCCCCCCTGGTGGTGTCGGTATCGCTTCTCCTCCCTCCGACACACCCCGAGTAGGGCTCCGAGGGACGGCGCTCGGGATCGAGGACTTCGCCGTCCTTAGGGGAACAAAAAATTACATAAACATAAAAGCTCGGAGATCCGCGCGGCGGTCCCGGATCGGCGCTGGACCTCCCTCCCTGGCGCGCTCCGCGCGCCAGGGGCGGCGCCGGAGGCGCCGCCGGGGGGGGGGACGGCGCCGATCCGAGAACTCCGCGCGGACCTCCGAGCTTTTGTTTATGTCACTTGTTGTTCCCCTAGAGCCTGTGTTTTTTTGGATTCAGGTAAGTTTACTTGCATGGCGTTCGCCCCCCCCCCCCCCCCTCGCCCCTCTTCAAGCGAATACTAGCGTGCAAGTGCCTTTCGACTTGCGTGATTTCCGCGCCCCCCCGAACGTGCAAGTCGTTTGCGGCTTGCTTCAGGCTCAGCCCCCCCCCCCGTCCATGCAAGTAAACTTGCCAGAGTCTAAAAAAAACAGGCTCTGTTCCCCTACCTGGGGCCGCGTCCTGGCGCCGGCTTCCGGCCTCGAGGGGGAGGCGGCCATCGGGGGAGGCGCGGCCGTCGAGGCGGATCGAGGGAGGGGGGCGGCTCGGGGCAGGGCGGGGGCCTCGAGGCTTCGGGGCCGTGCTGCAAGGTGCAGATCGGGCCTCCGTAGAGGGGGGAAGGTCCGCGCCTGTGCTTGGGTCGGGCCTGTCCCTCCCTGCAGGGGGAGCTTGGGCGAAAAATGAAACATACTCGAACAGATGTGCCCCAAAACATGCCCAAACATTGTAAAACAAATATCGTCCCCCGACTAGTTTGTTTACTATGAAGGAATATTCCCCCTGTAGAGGGACAGGCCCGACTTGATTTTGGGGCTGTCTTGCGAGGTTCAGGGGGGCTCTGTAGAGGGCAGAAAATCCACCTCGACAATAGCCACCCCGACACACAAAGCCGTTTAGAAAACGCACCCAAAGAGGGAATCAAACGGGGCAGGAGTGTTTAGGCAACGCCCAGGGCCGTTTAGTAAACGCCAGTTGTCGGGTCTGGGTGGTTTTTCCTCCCTTGACTCTGCAAACCTAACGAGTCCACCAAGGATCCCTGGGAACCTCCAGAGACCTTCGCGGACCTCCGCGACGTCCATGCACCTCGGGGGGCCTCCGGGAGGTTCGGTGGAGGGGGGGCTCGAGGGCGGAGGCTCGAGGGAGGAGGACCAAGAGAGGGAACTGGGGGCAAGAGGTTCGGGTGAGGAGATCCGAAGGAGAGTGCGAGAGTGCGGGGAGGAGGCTCGAGGCTGCATGCCTTCCGCGGCAGGCTCGGGGGAGCTGGAGGGGGACGAGGCGCGACAGGGGAGAGGGGAAGGGTCCGGCAGGAGAGCTGGGGGAAGGATCCGGGGGATCATGGATGAGTCGGCGGCGGGCGAGGGGGGGAAGTGAGAAGGAGAAGGCCATCTCAGAAGGCGACGGGACTCCTCAGAAGCCCTCCAGGCCATCAGAGAACTTGTCTGCGCCTCCGGGGAAGGCTCAGGAAACTCCTCAGAGGGCCCGAGCCTTCTGAGAACGCCCCCTCCTTCTCACTTCCCCCCCCGCTCGCCGCCGAATGGGAGACGGCGAAGAAGAAGCAGGGCAAGAGTAACGAAACTGCTCATGCCGCGGGCTTCTCGGGCGCCTCCCGGCGCCATAGGCGCCCATGTCGAGGCGAGCGCCCGGCAGCGGGCCGGAAGCAGCGGAACGCAGCAGGCGTTCGTGACACCCCCCTTTCCCAGCAACCCCGCTGCCGTCCGCCGAGGGAAGCAAGGGAAGAGGCCAGGCGCGAGGGAGGAAAACAGGGAGGCCCGTTGAGACCCGCCAGCCGCCACCAGGAAAAGCCGCGGCAAAAACATGTTGAACACCTTCCTGAGCCCTATGCAAATTCCTCGGTCTCTCTCTCTCTCTCTCTCGCTCTCTCGCTCTCTCAGTCACTATCTCTCTCTCTATATATACACCTCTTTCTGTGTCTTTCTCTCTCTCTCTCTACTTCTCGGCCTCTCTATCTCTCTCACGCTCTCTCTCTCTCTCTCTCTCTCTCTCCCCCCGCATCCGTCCCGAGAAACGGCATCGAATAAAAGAAGACATGGACATACACACTCGGCGCCGAGGCCCTCTGCCAGATCCACTTCCCGGCGAGCGACGTCTGTGGAGGCGGGGTCTCGCGGCGACCCCAGGAATTCGCAAGGGCTTCAGCGTGTGTAGTTTTCTATGTTCGATCCTTATCGCCCCATCGACACAAGCCCCAAAAGCGCTGTCCATGTGAGTAGGCATGCCGGACGTGAACTCGGAGTCCTGGACTCTCGCCAGCGAGTCCTTCGGACTGTTGCCCCTGGAGAGATCGGCTATTAACTTTATCCATCATCATCATCATCATCATCATCATCATCAGCATCATCATCATCAGCAGCATCATTATCATCATCATCATCATCACCATCATCACCATCATCATCATCACCAGTAGCAGCAGCATAATCAACATCATCGGCAGCAGCAGCATCAGCTTCAACACCACAATCATCATCAACCTACTCATGCACCTCATCATAATACAAAGCACGGTCATGCTCATCATCACCATAATCATCATCATCATCATCATCATCATCATCATCATCATCATCATCATCATCATCATCAGCATGATCACCATAAGCATCATCATCACCATACTTACACCATCATCACAATCATCAGCATCACCATCGTCATCATCAGCATCCTCATCATCATAAACAGCATAACAGTCATTCAGCATGATGAGCATCAACAGCATCACCATCATCACCATCAACAGCCTAACCATCATTCACCATCATTACCATCATCACAATCACCATTGCCAACATCATAAGCATCAACAACCTCAACATCAGCATCATCACCATCACCGTCATGAGCACTATAGCCATCACCATCAGCATCATCATCCCCATCCTCACCCTCATCATCATCATCATCATCATCATCATCATCATCATCATCATCATCATCATCATCATAACCATCGTCATCCTCATCCTCAGTTTCATCCTTATCCTGATCCTCATCATCAGCAGCATCATCAACATCATCATCAGCATCAGCACCAGCATCATAATCATCATTATCATCACCACCACAGTCATCATCATCATCATCAGCAGCAGCATCATCATCACCATCATCATCGCCATCACCATCATTATCATCATCATCAGCAGCATCATCGTCATCATCATCATCGGCGGCGTCGTCCCAGTACCGCCATGGCATGGTCGGCGAGAAAGTGAAAAAAGGGTCAGGTGATGGGCGAGAAAGGTCAGCATCCCTCGTCCCCCCGCCCTCGCTTGGCGGTTCCTGGCCTTCAGTAGCCAATCTTAGCACTGCCTAGGTCCAACTCCAGCTCCAAATTCTCATCCTCTTCCTCACCTTAGTCATCAGATCCGTACCCAGTCAGCAGCAGTCATCATCACCAGTCCTCGTCATCGTCGTCGGCGGCAGTATCAGCATCAATGGCATCACCATTAGCACCAACACCAGTATCAACATCACCATCATCACAGTCATGTTCCTTCTCATTATCCTCCTCGTCCTCCTCCTCCTGTCACCTCCCCTTGATCGTCATCATCACCAGCATCGTCAGCAACATCATAAATATCATCATCAACATCATCGTCCTAATCACCATCATCATCAACGGAATCGTCATCGTCATCGTCATCGTCATCGTCATCGTCGTCGTTATCATTATCAGCATCATCATCATCATCACAACCATAATCACCACCACCAGTATCAACATCATCATCATCGCCGTCCTCGGTATCGTTGTCGCCACCGACATGGACACCGTCACGCGCATCACTACAAACACAATAAACGTCATCGACACCAAAATCGGCGTCATCATCACCACCATAATCATCACAAGCATCATAACCAGCATCATCATCAGCCGCATCATCAGCAGCATCATCATTAATGTCGGAATCAGAACAGCCATCAATATCAATACCATCATCGTCCTCCTCACCATCATCCTCATCTGTTCATCGTCCCAGCACTGCTCTTCCAGCTCTTAAGTCCTCTGTCTCGCATGCCTGTGATCCCGTCTTTCTCTTCCCCATGATTCTCCCCCCCTGTCCCACTCGCTCATCATCCCTGGTCCTCCCACAGTGTCCTGATACTTCTCCCCCTCCCCTCCGAACGCTTCGTCCCTCCCCCTCCTCCGCAGCATGCGCTCCAGCACCTCCAACTCTCACTCCGTCTCCCTTCCTCGTCCTCTTCCACAAGCCCGCGTCTTCTGGCTGTGCGGGGAATCCACCCGCCCCTCCCGCACGCCCCCCAAAAAAAGCCCAAAGCAGCAGCCCCCCTACAGGCCCTACAAAAAAACGCCATAGAGGAAAGGGAGCAGCGCAGCCGCCGACACCCAACGCCGTGGGGAAAAAAAACCTCCACACCGTGACTGGAGATGCCGGCACCACTCGAGCTGGATCGCTCCGTGAGGGCTACAATCGCGCTTGGCAAAGCCGCGTCCGTCGTGATTGTGCGGGACGTCCGGATCTAAGAGATCCCAGACATCTGGCGGCCAGACTTCCCGAGACATTAGCAACGAGTACAGGACAACGGATTTGTTTGTTCGTTGTTTCTTTTTCGGGAAGAAGGGAGATGGGGAGCGTGAGACCACTGAAACTCACTACGGCGTGACTGGCACAATAACGTGAAGCAGAAGATCGCCAGGCAAACTAGGACCGCTATACGAGCCGACCTGCTATAGGCAGATTTATTCGATACGCAGTAGCCTGGGGGCTTACGCACGAGGGCGCAGCGACCTTATGTGGTGGCGTACGCAGGCGACCACCGCGGCAGGGAAAGGGAGGCGCGCAACCGCGACACGGCGCGGGCAGCCAAGGCGCGAATGTCTGCGCCGTCGCCAACCTTCCCGGGGTCGCTCACACGAGACCCCCTAGACTCCTCCTCCTCCTCCTCCTCCTCCTCCTCCTCCTCCTCCTCCTCCTCCTCCTCCTCCTCTTACCCCTCCTACTCCTCCCCCTCCTCCTCCTCCTCCTCCTCCTCCTCCTCCTCCTCCTCCTCCTCCTCCCCTCTCCTCCTCCTCCTCTCCTCCTCCTCCTCTCCTCCTCCTCCTCTTCCTCCTCCTCCTCCTCCTCCTCTTCCTCCTCTTCCTCCTCCTCCTCCTCCTCCTCCTCTTCCTCCTCCTCCTCCTCCTCCTCCTTCTCCTCCTCCTGACCTCTCGACGCCGTCCCCTGGCCTGGCTTGTCCGCCCCGAGTCGTCGTTCGACGGCCCTGGGGCCCCCGACATCGGCCTCCGGAGGACCAGCCTTCCACAAGGATCACCGCCGTCGATGCTGCTCTGGAGTTGCAGGTGATGTGAAGTGAAATATTCAAGGCAGACAAAAAACTGCAGACAAATAAAAGGATCCCCCAATTCCCGCCCAATTCCCATATTCTCCAATTGTTTCCAATATTTTCTTGGGGATCGACGATTCATTTTGTCTGTGTGTGTTTCCCCTCCTGAAATATCTCCGTCCCCACAATTGATACAGACGCTCGCAGCGGCACTGCCCCAGTCGCTCAGCGGCGACCCCCCTGCTCGCGGGGCGCTTTTCCTCCACCGCCGCGCCCTCCTGCTGCCCTGCAGGAGGAGCAGGAGGGCGGAGGGGAGAGGACGGAAGAGGGAGGAGGGTGAGGGGTCCGGAGCTTTTGGAGCATTTCCACGGAACACGAGGTTCCATGCAGTTGGGGGGGGCCTCCTCATCACCAGTTGCATCAGCAGCACCATCAGCAGCAGCAGCAGCATCAGCGACAGCATCATTTTACTTCTCTACATCGGTAGACAAACTGCATCCTGAGGTAGCAGTTGTTCGACCACGGCTTGTCCTGCTCCTTCGCGTAAGACCACGCCACACAATTGGGGTCTGCGGGCGGATGTTTGTGGTCCAGGCTGCCGAACGCGGGGCCAGAAGGGAGGATGACGAGGATTTCCGCTGGAGAGTGGCCAGAGACGGGCGCCCTGGCGACGCACAGCCAATTACGCTCCAACGCCTGCGCTTTTTCTCCACCCACCTTCACGCCCTCGCGCCGCCCATCTGGAGAGCACCTGCGCGCCTGGGCCGCCGAAGGCGGATGCCCTGCGCGCCACTGCGGAGGCCCTCGAGACGAGCCGGGGGCCCGACGAGCTCGACGAGGCGGAGAATGCCGAGGCCTAGGCGGAGTCAGAGGGCTCCTGGCCGCTCTGGCTTCGCAGGAAGGTCGGCTGCGGAGCCAGTGGCGAACACCGCGGCCGCTCCTGGCTTCACGAAGAAGAGGAATGCTACTCCAGACTTCGTGGGAAAAGGGAGGGGGTCTGGACCCTCCAAGACGAGCCATTTCAGACCCCCCCTCGTGGGAGAACCCTCCAAAACATCGTCCCAGACCCCCCAGGCCCTCCAAGATAGCCTGGAAGAGACCCCCCCCCGAAATGAGACCCCCCTCCCTTTATTACGAAATCTGGAGTATCGACTCCCGCTTCAAGGCCGCGGGCCACCTCTGCACAGCCTGACCTCCTGGCGGTGGTGGCACCCAAGGCCTGCGGCATGCGGAGTGCACCCAACGGCTTGCGGCGTCGAGCGGATCGCGCCTGGCCAGCGGGAAACTCAGAGCCCAGAAAAATTCGAGTACTCCAGATTTCGTAATAAGAGAGGGGGGTCTCATTTCGGGGGGGGGTCTCTTCCAGGCTATCTGAGAGGGCCTGGGGGGTCTGGGGAGAATGTTTTGGAGGGTTGTCCCACGGGGGAGGTCTGAAACGGCTTGTCTTGGAGGGTCCAGACCCCCTCCCTTTTATTACGAAACCTGGAGTAGGGGATCGACTTCAAAATCGATTTACCCAAAGTTCATTTGCCCGATCGAATCCATGACAAATACCTGGAATGTTCTCACATCGACTGAGAGTTCGAAGTAGCTTCTGTAGATTCGGCGAGACCATGAATTTCGGGGTGAATATATATATATATATATGTATGTACACATATGTGTAGTTGATCCCCTACTCGAGAAATGCATCTCCTGAAGGTCGACTTCTGCTTCCGCTGGGTTCTCGGGGATGGACAGACCTCCCTTTAGTAAAACGTGGTTTAGTGAAAACGACCTGAGGCCCAAACCTGGCGGGCGCAAGCCTGGAAAATAACGGCCACGGTGCCCTCTCGAAAACCGAAAACGGACAATTCTCTAATCGACGTGTCACTGTTGGGGGTTCTGTCCACCCCCGAGGTTCCTCTTGGCAAACGAGCAGCACACACCCACACCCACACTGGGGGTCCGCAGGCGCAGGACTGCCGGTGGGCAGGGGTGCGGGCCGCCGGGCGCCGGGGAGGTTCCGGCTCGAGCGGCACCCACATCTGACAGCACGCACCCATAGCCCCCTCCCGTACCCAGACCCCCTCAAATTATAACAAAATCACGACG